CTGCCGGCCGGCTGAGGTTGCCCTCCCCGCGGAGGTATTCCTGGGGAATCCCGCCGGCGCCCGTCAGGGCCCAGCCAGGCTGCACCTGCCCCTCGGCCTGCACTCCCGCGGGGTCCCCTCCCCAGCTCGAGTTCTGTGCCCCGGACCTTGGCGATGGGCTCCCGCTTCTCAGGACAGAAGAGGGAGGGAGGCGAGGAGGAAGGGTTGCCGGCTCCATTCCCGACCCCCGGGGGGCGTTCGTGAGGCCCCACTCACCAGGAGTGTGCGTCTTTCAAACTTCCTCATCGCCTTTCTGCAGCCCAGCGCCTTGACATCTTTAAGGGCCTGTCGTGGACCAAGCAGATGGTGCTGGGTTGCTGGATGCTGAGGTCCGGGTGCCCTTTCTGCTTCTGCCCACAGCCAGCCATTTACCGCTTTCCTTCCACGCCCCAGGCCCTTGTCCATGCAGTCTGTGCCCTCAGCTCTGACCTCAGCTGCGACTCAGATGTCACCACTTGGGGACATCTTAGAGTTGATCCCATCTCACCCCATGCTCATCCCTGCTTCTTGTGAGAGAGAGACAGAGACAGAGACAGAGACAGAGAGATCTCACTACGCAGTCTAGGCTGGCCTGGAACTTGGCAATAACCCTCAGGCCTCAGCTGCCTAAGTACTGTGATTACGCCATCCCTACGTCAGTGGTGTTCTGTGAGCTCTGTGAAGGTGCGATTGTATCTGTCTCAGTCACGTGGTGTCCTGCGGCGTGGTAATTATGTTTGGCTGGTTGTGGACCCAGAGAGCTGAGTACCCTTTGCCCTCAGCCCTCTGTGGCTTCTGGGCATCTGGAGCCAGGTAACTTCCAGGCCCTGCCCACCCCTTGGTCACCCTTCCTGACAGCAGCCCTAGTTGTGCAGAACAATGTTCACCTCTGCACCCAGGGTCTCCTGCCTCCCCTTTGCCAGGGAAAGAGTGACTAAAGTCTCAGCCCCTCCCGCAAGCCTTGTCACAGTGTCCCTCATGCCAGCAGGTCCCCGAGGAAGGATGTGTTCCCTCACCCCCAACTCCCGCAGCTCAAATCTCCCTGGACCCCCTGCACTGCAGTGTCAGGGCCCAGGGACTGGGAGAGTTCAGGAGGGGACATGGACAAGGGGCACTCAGGCACTCAGAGCAGCAGGGCCAGCTCCCCTCAGGTGTCAGGAAGCCTCCTAGAAGAGGGGACCCGGGAATTGGCTCTCTGGAGGGGAAGGCAGGCACTCCAGGCAGGGGCATGGTCAGGGCACAGGGAACAGTGGGCTGCACAGTGGGCTTCCGAAGCTCGGAGCGTGGGCGTGGTGGCACGCTCCTGTGGTCCCAGCACGTGAGGCTGAAGCAGGAGGATCGGGGAGTTTGAGGCCAGCCTGGGCTACACAGTGAGTTCAAGGCCAGCCTGAACTGCGTAGCAAGATCTCATTTTAAGAAAGCAACAAACAAGCAAGCAAGCACAGTGCATGTGGCGCGCTGGGAGGACGTCCAGGTAGTAGGGGTCCCTGGGAGAGAAGCAGCTGAAGCAGAGTGGAGGAGGCAAGAGCACTGGACTGGCCCTGAGCCTGGGGTAGGGACTGTCCCTGAGGCACGGGGAGGCCACACGGTCAGCTGTGTGTGGAGCCCCATCTGGAGCCAGGCTGGGGCGGCCGGGGGCTGGGCGGCCACGGCAGAGGCTGGGGTGAAGGTCCAAGGGACCCGATGGGGACCGGGTGGGCCGGGACGGAGGTGGGACCCAGCCGTGGTGGGGCCCTGGGGATCTGAGTGGGTTTAGGGACCTGTGCTGGGCGCAGCAGGCGGAGGGTCCTGGGGTTGGCTGGGTCACGGCGCAGGTCTGGGTCTTGGGACAAGCAGCTTCAGGTAGCCGCACGAAGTTGGGACAGTGGCCCAAAGGTGAGGTCGTCCATGGGATGCTGGTGGGGCTGTGGGAGCAGCACCGTTCGCGGCAGCTGGGGTGGCAGCTGGGGCTGGAGGGCGGCGCCTACCTTGTTGAGAGCCATCTGGTAGATGTCCTCTGGGGAGTGGTCCCTCTCTTCGGGGCGCAGCTTGTAGCCCAGCTTCTCGGGCATCTTCTCCACCACATAGTTCCGCAGCTTCACACCGTTCACTTCTGTCCACGTGTTCTCGTCATACTGGGTGAATTTTGTCAGGTTGAGCCCGAGGCTCTTGCAGAGTGTGTGCAGGATCCTGAGGGAGTGGGGAGGCGGGGTGAGGGCTGGGTTTGGGGGGCCCTGTCCCTATCCAAGCTTGGAGAAGGCCCTGCGGGGCTGTGCACGAGGCTTCGGCTAGACAGGAGTGAAAGGAGACGAGGCCAGAAGGCTGAGGGCAGAACCAGGACAGGACTGGGTGAGGAGGAGCCCGGTTGGTTTTCGTTGAGGGTGCAGTGAGAGCCGGACATGACCGGGGAATGGGGACAGAGCTTAGGATGGTGGGGTTTGGGACGGGGAAGGGCCAGGGGCCAGGGTCCTGAGGGTGCTGGGGGTCAGAGCTGGAGGCTTGGAGGGAATGGGGCAGGGCCAGCTGGGTCTGGCTGGAGGAGCCTGGGCCTGTGGGGAGCTGCACTGCCAGGGCTGGGGCCAGGGAGACCACAGGGGTGGGAGAGGTGCAGGCTGAGCTGGAGGCTGGGTCTAGCTGCGAGTCAGACCCCGGTGTGGGGCTGGGGTGTGGCAGCGGTGGGTGCTCAGTGGTGGGTGCTCAGTGAGTGCACAAGGCCCTCTGATCCTTAGCACAAAAGAACCACGGAAAGATGCTGGAGCCTGAGGGGATGAGGTGGGGTTCTGGTTGTTTGGGCGCAAGGATGGGATGGGGCTGAAGGTGGCCAGGGCAGGCCTCACCTGTGGGAACTGGGCATGCGCATGGCTCCAAGCTCCCCAGACCAGCCAGTCTTAGGGTCCCGGAAGGTAAGGATGCGGCCCCCAATCCTGTTATCTGCTTCTAGAATGGTGACCTGAGGAATCGGGGGAGCAGGGCTCTTCAGCTCCTGAGTGCTGAGCCAGGCTGGCCCCAGCTTTCCTCCATCTCCATAGCAGCACAGACCTAGACCAGAAGGACCCCTATCTTTCTCAGGGTAGCAGGGGCTGGAGTGAAAACAGTGAGGCCACTGGCTGGATTGGGGGACTTCCCAGCCAGCCAGGGAAAATGTGGGGTGGTTTCCTGCATGTGCAAAGCAGCTAGCGAGCTCTCGTTCCTGGATATGGTGGGGTGGGGCAGTGGTTGGACCTCAGGGGACACTTCCCCCTGCTGGGGTCACTGCCTCCACCTGCCACCCCACTTCGGTCAGCGGGACTTCCCTGGGGTGCAGGAGGCTCTCGGCAGACACTAGAGCAGAGCTTTCAGGGGAAAGGACAGCGCCCGCCCTCGCCGCCCAGG